AAACCCCGCCAGACACCAAACCACCACATGTCTTATTTTGATAAGTTATTAATTTCTGTTATTTCCTCCCACCAACGCCCTGAGAAAACCCAGACCCTTAGAGGAATGTTTTGTAGCCTTTTATTTGATTTTTCACCGTAGCTTTCTGAATAGGTCATTCTTATGAAATGTTTTTGGTTGGTTGGTGTTCTGTTGGGAGATGGATGTTACTGTCTCCCTACAAAGGAAAACAAAAATGGTAGAAAAATCTGAATACTATCTAGATATTTGTTTTTGAGTTTTCTTGCTTTCCTAAAGAAACTGGATTATAGTAACCTTGAGTCAGAGATGTAGGAGTTGCTTTTTTGCATCAGTGCTTTGTAACACTAGGAAGAATAATATGACTACCTTAGTTCAGCTTCCAAAAAGGTTAGCAGAGAGAAATGGAACAAAAGGAACTGAAACAGAATAGGACTTCTCTGTTTTAAGAAAGACTTCTTAGGAAGCATGTTGGGGAGGTTTAGGACGCCCATTTCATAAACAGAGAGGACTCAATCATCGTGAAACCTTTTAGAATTTTATATCTTTTGGATCTTAATCATCTCCCTTGATGTAGGTCCAGCATTGATGTGTTTTGAGCAGAGGTGGTCTCCTTATAGAGAAATTCTCGTCTGTAACCTTCAGAAAACACTGTACCAAGACTTCTTTTTTGAGCCTTGTTTGCAGCAGTGTTCTGATGTTAATATTTTTTAATGTGCTTTCTACGTAGCTTTTGTGATTGAAATCCAAGAAATACTGGGGGGAGAGTATTATAAAAAATAAGCTTGTCAGAACTGTCTCTGTAGATGTTGAAATTTAAAAGGATTATTTATGGGGCCTGGAACAGAATTATGTTTTTTGAGTTAGCAATGAAAACAAAAAAGGAAAAACCCAGAAGTCTTTAACAGTCAGGACCATAGCATCTTCAGTGGAGGCTTCAGCCATTTGGGTTGTAACACTGGCATGTGTATTTGAAACCAAACAAATCCCAGACAACAACAACAACAAACCCTCTCCTCCCAACCCACACACACAGACACCCTTCCACGCTCCCCCCAACAAACCAAAGCAAACAAAAATATGCCATGGCTGTAAAAAAAACCGAACACCTTTGCAGTGAGCAAAGTCTGGCTCTTCAGAACATGTAAGATTAAAAGTTGTACGCAAATATTTCTGCTGACTACTGCTATGACAGAAAGTCATACCTCACCATCAACCTCTGATGTTGGAAACTGCCCTGAACCAAGACTTACAGGTGGCTCAGAAGACATTCTATACAAAAACTTCCTTCCTGAATGTGGACACTTGAGGCTGTGAAAACATTGGCCACTACAAACAAAATAAATGGGCAGAAGAAATTTAGTCATTTTGCAATGTTTTTCTAAAGTTGACTTTCATATTTATGTCTCTCTCATTCCCTCTTTTGTTTTGCCTTCTCAATGTATATCTGTTTTCACAGAATCTTCCATCATTAAGCCTTTCTGAATGCCATTCTGAAGTTGGCTGCCGCTCTAGATATTCTAGTTAGCTGTTACCTTTCTGGTAACCAGAAACATACCAGTCTGCCTGCCTCTAAGTTGTTTGTTCATTTATGCAATTAATATTATGAAATAACATGTCTAAAACTTCTGAGCTTGTATTTGAGTACTAAAGTCTAATTAATTCCATACAACAACTTAGTTTGGGAGTACCTGCTTGGAATTTGAGGGACTACAGGATGGGTTGGCTAAACTTGAACTGCTTCTGGAACTTCCAGAAGGTTGACGAGTGTTTTTGTTTCAGCTGAGGGAGAGTCAGGATGAAACTGTTTGTGCAGCATATTTTCCACGGTTTACTGCTTTGCTAGAAGACAGATGGTCTTTTCAAATGGAAGTCACTGATGTTCCAGCAATATCCTTGTCTACGTTTAGCTTGTACCAGGGCCAACGTGTAACAATTACTCTATCACCCGATGAACCCTCACCAACCAGGAAGGGGAATTGGGGAAGAAGGAGAGAAGACCCGTAGGTGAACGTACAACAGGTTTAATGAAAACACCACCAGTACAAACAGAAAATACTTAGCCAAATGAATACACTGTTGTCACAATCTGTTGCCAAGTAGTCCTCAGCAGAAACCAGAGAAGGAGCAGGAATCCAGCAGGGCTAACCTCACAGGAGCTCCCTCTCCTCAGTAAACCACCTCCCTTCATAATGAGCATGACATTACAGTGTGGGCTGCAGCTGTGGCCAGCTCGGGTCAGCTGCCCTGGCTGGCTTGAGCCTGCCTAGCATGGCTGGGCTGTGATTCTGTCCCAGCCAAACCAGGATAATCCTATTACATTCTCTCTTTGAAGATTTTACCTGTACTTCCTTCATATGAAAAAATAAACTAACTGCTTGTATAGTGGTTACAAACCTTGATTATGGAATACATTTTTTAAAGCAAACTTCTTTGGTTTTGGTCAAGATTACAGTGTTTATGTGTTGTGCTCTCTGACATCTCTGTTGGTATACTTTCTAATGGAAAAGCAAATTCCAAGTTTTCCTCCTTCTTCTAGCCAAGTAGTGAATTCCTCCTGCCTCCTGTGTTATGCCATACTACTCTGTGCTAAACCAAGGCAGATGATAAAATGGATTTTTGTTACATTAGCGAACTAAGACCTAACATTTGAAAGAACTCTCAAGAACTGCTTTTGTCTTAATACGAACTAACAAATCTGCTTTCATGAAGATGTAAGAAAGAGTATCAGTTATTATGGGCTAATATCTGAAGGGCTCACTGAAAAATCACTGTGCTTGTTGTTTGACTTTCCTGAACAAGCATTATTTGAAGAAAAACAGATAAACTATAAACTACTTACTTGACGAATGTATCAAGTAAATATCCTACTTAAAATAGTAATTTGGAAGGTACTGGTCAATGTTGTTAAGCAAGATTATAAAAGAAAATTAGCTTTGTTAATTTGAGTTTTTGTTTCCGTAAGTTTCCATTAAAAAGAGCAGGTGCTATGCTATGCTTTTTTTTCAGTGACATAGTGAGTAGGCAAATTAGTAAATATACTCTTGCCTTTTGGCCAACTTTTCCAGGAAGTCTAAAACCTATTTTTTTATTAAGGAGTGATAATTAAAAATACATGCATGCGATTATTTAATGTGACTAATTGTTTTTTTCCTTTTATCTTGCAGCAACGCACCTCTTGCTTTTTCCTCCAAAGTATGTTATATTAAGTTTCGTGAAGCATCGAGTGTTGGTGTGGCCCAGCATCTAACTAACACGGTTTTTATTGACAGAGCTTTGATAGTTGTGCCCTGTGCAGAAGGTTGGTATTTTAGACATTATTCTGTAATGTTGGTCTTTGTCATGTCTGCTAATTGTTTTAAGCTTTCCATGTAAGGAGGTGGTGCTCTGTTGTTATTTTATTTTACCGCTTTTTGAAAAAAAGTCTTGAAACAAAATTGAAAATTGAATTAAGAAACCCAATTAATATAGATTTAATTGAAATGCAGCATTAGAAAGAAGACAGTTGATTTAAATTAGGATCATTCAATTTTCCGTAGTTGTTACATATTTTGAGGAAAAAGAAGGTAAAATCTCTTCAACATGGTTTGTGTTGGCAAGCTTATTCTCACACAGAGTTCTCACTGAAGTCAATGGAGGACCGAAAAGATTAAGCAATTTCCTGGCACCGATAACATTACAGTTTGGATCTTAATGTATCACCTTTGGTGTGGTGGGTTTTTTTGTGCCTTTTTTTTTTTTAAAGATACTGTTTATTTTTTCATTATTTTAGACTGAGTCCCAGTTTTGCTTGAGGCATGTGATATATGCGTTTGGCCATTTTAGATTAATCTAATCTAAAATACTTAGCATTCATGGTGATAATTACTGTTTGAATATAAATGTTTACCTGCTAGTTTAATTAAAAAATTTCAATTTTCCTTTCTTGTTACTGTGGAAAATATTACTTCATGTGCCATAAAAAGGCTTTCTTACGTATACTGGTACTCCTTTTTGTTTTTAGATATCTCTTTCAAAATGCAGTGATCTGTGCAGAATGCTTCCAGTGTAAAATATTTGTAAAACTCTTAATAAATTTACAAGTGTTCCTTTAACTAGCTTTGATGCCATACGTTTACAGATGTGTCGAGTACAAGGTAGTTCATACTGTTAATATAGTATCCCAGATGCGAATACAGTTACATGAAGTACAGCCCTGTGGTAGGCATATCGCTGGAGTTAGGCAGAGCCCCATTGACTTCACTGGGATCATTGTGGAATTGAGCATCTGCCCGTATGGTTCTGGACTTTTTGCCTGTTTGAGTGGAAACATTTCAGCTGGTGGAGTGAACCTGACTTCACTTTGAACATGGTAGCTGTTTTGCCGTGAACAACAGTATTTGGAATGAATGAACCATAAACTGCAGCAAGTCCAGAAATACCTCTTATTAACATAACTTTTCTAACTGCAAGAGTCAGGTTTGGGTTCAAAAAATACTGTTGACTTCTTGGAGTTTGTTAACAGTGGTCCCAAAGTACCATTTTATGGCATGTTTGCCACATCATGGTCTGGATAGTATGAGATTAGTGCTGCTGTGATAATGGCCTGGGATGTTCCTAGCAAACTCTGACAAGTCTCCAAAATTTCATAGACTCTATAAGTACTTTCACTAGAGGCTATATTGACCTACAATATACTGCCTGTTCTTGTAGCTTTCTTAGTAGGGGCATGTGGCACATAAATTTGTCCTTGTGAAGGCTAGATTTGTAGTTGCTTTTATGCCTTCTTTTGGGGTCTTTTTGGTTTTATTTTTTTAACTTGTTCTTAAACCAGAAAGAGGATATTGCTGTATCCTCTTGGAGCTCTGTAGAGGCTAATGGGACCAGAGTCCTTATGATTGAAAAATTGCCCCTAAATATTTGACTACAAATTATTCAGGATCTTAGTTTTATGTTTCATCGAAAAGACCTTAACGCTGGTTCAGTACTGCCAGAGGGGGAAGATTGCTGCCTAATGAATGAACCACACTTCCTGGTGTTTTTCTTGTGATGAGATCACTGCCTGACGTGATATGGCAACAGGCAGGTAAAGCTACATTTTCCTGTGTCTCTTGATGGTAGACAATGAATGGAAGGAGCATAAAATTAGTTCTGACAAATCTTGTTCCAACCCCATTTGTAGCTGACTTATTAGTCATTTCTGAGAAAACATATTACAGAGAAATTTTCAGTGTTCAAAATCACGCTGGACCCCGCAGTGATTTATGCATAACTAGGTGAACAAGTGATTGGGTTGTGAGGTCAAATTTTTCTTAATGTCAGAATGCTGTTTCCATGTAACTTTCTAACAGAATCACTAATTTTAATTTATAAAGATGTGAATTTATATAGGTTTAACTTTCTGAGGAATTTATTGTATGGAGTAAGTATGGCTGTGGAGACCAATGTGCAAGATTTTTGATTCGCTATGTGTCATATGATGCGTTGGTAATGGAGTCAGTTGACGGTATCATGGGCTTTAAAAGTAGTGATGGCTATATTCTGCTGGGAGGTAAAACTATATCCTTGGCCAACAGTGCCAGTAATAAAATATTTAATGCGCCGAATCAAACATGGAGGAGAGGTAGAATGGAACTCTGAAAACTTGGTTTTAAAAACCAGAAATAAAATTTGAGATTTGGAGTGTATTTAAATAGTGGTAAATCAAGGGAGTACAAGGAGGGAATCACTATACAGTGAAAACAGTGTTAACTTTATGACATTTAATAAACAATTTAACAAAAATGTAATTGTAAATGAAGTAACATTATTAAGCTGTCAAAATATGACTTCTTTGTGTGTGCCGTATTGGTAGGTTTTTCTTTAAATGTTATACTTTGAGAACGCAAAGGTTGAAAGATAAACAAAGATGCCACCCTAATAATTCTAAATTTTATGTCCACATTATCTGGTAGATGGATTTTGACTATTAATTTGGTTTTGTATGTTTTCTCTGTGTGATATTTGTGCATTATTAGATGACTAGACTGGCCAAGGCAGACCTGTTACACTTGCCTGAGTTAGGCATTGTTTGCCATGCCACTAAACCTGCCGCCAAGTGAAACCTTCATGGGGGAAATGAGATCGAAGTCTGGCCTGCTGAAGATGGACGCCCTGTCTCTGTTTTTATTTTATTTTGCTTTCTTTCCTTTGTTTCTTTTATTTTTATTTTATTTTGTCCCTTTTTTTTGTTTTGTTCTGTTAAAT